ATACTAACAAACAAAAGTTATGGTATGATATTAAATATTTTTCAAAGGTTGCGAGGCGCGGCTCCCCCCTTTCATCAACGGCAAAAACCAATATTTAAATTTTTACTTTATAAAATTGATAGGTTTTAACCTTTCAACTTATAACATAATATTTTTAGTCCTTTACTTTACAAAGTTGGTAAATTTTAACCTTTTACGTTATATTATAACATTTTTAACTTCTCACCTATACGAATGGAAGAAAATAACTCGCACCTAACATCAGATTATAACGTTTTATTAGTTCTGTTAATTGACTGTTAACATCCGTTAGCATTTCATTATAAAAAACATTAAATTTAAATTCAATTTTATTTGTTAGTTCCATTAACGAAATGCTAACGGATATTAACAGTCAGTTAACAGAACTAACAGTTAATTAACAAAATTTACAATCAGTTAGTAGAATTTACAGTCAATTAATCGAACTAACAGAACATCATAACATGATGTTAAGTGAGGGTTATTTTCTTCAATTCATACAGATAAGGGACTAAAAGTATCATAATATGAGATGAGGGGTTAAAACTTACCAATTTTATAAGATGAGGGGTTAAAACCTATCAACTTTATAAGATAAAGGGTTAAAACCTATCAACTTTATAAGATAAGGAGTTAAAACCTACTAACTTTGTAAAGTAAAAAGTTAAAATGTTATATTATAAAATTAGAGGCTAAAAGTTGGTTTTCGCCTTCGTAGACTTCGTCCCTGTCTTCAACCGTAAGCACCAATGCTACGTCTATTTTGAAGACAATGGCTTAAAATTCTTATTTCATTGCCTAAACTTTTTCTGCATTCAGAGTATATATATGCACAAAAAAAAAAAAAAAACTCTCTAATTGAGTTCAGGTTGGATTACATTTTTCTTCTTTTTTCCTTGGTTAAACTTAATTTTTCATCTATTAACTATTATTCTCTAATCATTTTAGTCTAAAAAGTTTACTTTTTTCTAAACGCATCTATAAATTTTTAAAACCATATCATATTCATCTATCTAATAAACTTTTACTAGTTTTTTTTAATGGAATCCCATGTCACTGCTTATGTCACACCAGTCAACAGTTTATGGCATAAGTAATTTTGAAGAATTATAATTTAACCCCTAAAATTTCACAAAATTTTCAATTAAGTTCTATGCTCAAATCACTCCACAACACAATTTAGTCAACTAAGTCCTTAAATGGACTAAATTATAATTAATAAAAAATAATGATAAATAATTAAGATTGTTAACTTAATTTGTTAATTAATTAAGATTATAATATTTTGTTATCAAATTAAAATTAAAAAAATCTTGTACATGTAAAAATTTTAAAAATGTATTTTCTCTATCTTAAAATAATAAACATTTTTGCATTTATCTTTAAATTAAGGATCTAAAAACAATTTCTATTATTACATATTTTATCCTTAAAAAAATAAAAATAAAGAACTTTTTTAAGAATAATAATAAATATGACCAAAATTTGAGATCAAAATCTGAAACCAAAATTTTGCTTATGTTACACCATTTAAAATATTAAAAAGTAGATTTTATATTATTTAATAATTGGTTCTTTTTTTAGGACTTGTAATATTATATGCATTAATTAATTTAATAATATAACTTATACCACATCGTTAGTCCCAAATTTTTGTCCTCCCTATCATTACTCTTTCATGGTTGAAAAGATTATTAAAATTAAGATATAATCATAAAATTAAAGTAGAAAAATTTTTTTATCTCCTTTAAAAAACAAAAAAAAACATTATTATTTTAAAAAAAATTCTAAATAAAAAAATTCTATTATTCTAAAATATAAGGAGTACATTCTAACTTTACTTCATTCATCCCAGAATAATTGTTGTTTTACAATTTTGAATTTGTCTTAAATTAATTATTATTATTATTTTTTAAGACAGACAAATATATTTTTTTACTTTAATTTTATTATTATTTATTTGCTTCAACTAATCATCCAATCACAAAATGTCTCTCTTAATCTTTTTTTTAAGGAAAATATAAGTAAACATAAATTATCATTAAATTTTTAATTTGAAAAAAAAAAAAGAGAGTATAGATAAAAATTAAAATTTTGAACTAAATAAAAAAAATGACGTAATTTTATTTGATAATGAAAATGATGATTTTTTAGTTAATCAAAATTAAAACAAATAGATTTATTACAAAATTAAAAATAAGAAAATAAAGAAAAAATAT